TAGGCCTCTGATTGGTCGAAGTTTAGATGTTGTCTGATTCTGCCCAGAATTGGTACCTAGGGGTTTTACGGGAGGCGGAACACAATGGTAACAGTTTCGAAAACCTCAGTTGCCATGGTAACGAGGTGGAGGCATCTGATTGGTCGAAGTTTAGATGTTGTCTGTTTTTGCCCAGAATTGGTACATAAGGGTTTTGAGTGATGCCAAACACGATGGTAACAGTTTCGAAAGGTCAAATTGCCATGGTAACGAAATAGAGGCCTCTGATTGGTCGTAATTTACATGTTATCTGATTCTGCCGGGAATTAGTACAAAGGGGTTTTAAGGGATGAAGAACACAATGGGAACAGTTTCTAACAGCCCAGTTGCCATGGTAGCGAAATGAGTGCCTCTGATTGGTCGAGATTTAGAAGTTGTCCGATTCTGCCCAAAATAAGTCCATAAGGGTTTTTAGGGGATGCCAAACGTGATGGTAACTGTTTCGAAAAGTTTAGTTGCCATGGTTACAAAATAGAGGCCTCTGATTGGTCGAAATTAAGTTGTTGTCTGAATCTGCCCAGAATTGTTACATAGGGGTTTTAAGGGATGCAGAACACAATGGTAACAGTTTCGAACAGCTCAGTTGCCATGTTAACAAAATGGAGTTCTCTGATTGGTCGAAATTTAGCTGTTGTCTGATGTTGCCTTAGTCCCTAAGTCCAACATGGGTCGTTTGGGGGACTTCTGTAACGGCCTTCCGTTACAATTATTACTAGTTATTATTATTATTATTTCTTCCACTTTCTTCCACCGACGAGGTTTCAACATATTTCTCGAAAAATGTAGGGCGGAATTCAACGAAACGTTTCATGAGTGGTCATGTATGGCAGACGGTGCGCAAGAGTTTTTTTTGTTTTTCGATTGGTCAACCGACTGGTCAGCCGGACGGCGGCCTCTGATTGGTCGACATTTAGATATTGTTTGATTTTGATGAAAATTAATATATAGGGATATTAGGGGACTGTGAATTCAACCGCATAGGTTTCGTTGCCATAGCAACCATATAGTAACCACACTAAGGCCTCTAATTGATGGAAATTTAGATAATGTTCGATTTTGATGAAAATTGGTATATAGGGATATTAAGGAGACTGCTAAGTCAACCGCATAATTTCATTTTCATAGCAATTATATAGCAACCACACGAAGGGTTCTGATTGGTGGACATTCATATATTGTTCGATTTTGATGGAAATTGGTATATATGGGTATAAGGGGACTGATAATTCAACCGCATAGGTTTCGTTGCCATGGCAACCACATGGAGGCTTATGATTGGTCGAAATTTATATATTTTTCGATTTAAATGAAAATTGGTATAAAGGGGTATAAGTTTCGTTATCATAGCAACCACAAGGAGGCCTCTGATTGGTCGCAATTTAGATATTGTTCGATTTCGATAAAAATTGGTATATAGGTGTATTTTGGGACTGTAAATCTAATCGCATACGTTTTGTTGCCAAAGCAACCACACGCTTATACGTACAATTGTATCACACGTACTATGATATGGGAAATATCTGTGCGTTTCATTTACACTTTTCACAGTCTATGCAATCGTGTAATTTGATATACATAGTATAACTTAAAAGAACCTTGCATCTATAATCGTCACTGTTAAAGCTGATACCCTTAACTGATAATTTGAGATAAAAGTTGATGATCGAAACTGTTTGACACGAACCTAGTCAGTGCATTATATTGTAAATACAGCCTAGGGATAGACATATACCTTAAAAGAAGCTGACATTGATAACCGTCACTATTGAAACTGATACACTTAACTGATAATTTGAGATAAAAGTTGATGGCCAAAACTGTTTGACACGGACCTAGTCAGTGCATTGTATTGTAAATACAGTCTAAGGAATAATTTGTCACATGTACATCGTTAACCGATGAAAGGCTATAAGTTTATAGAAAACAAATATGTTTGTCCTGTATGTTCGAAATAAATCATTGTTATTAACTCACTAAAAACACGCTAGGGTTATTTTTCCAGTATCGCAGAAGCACAGCATTAATGAATTTTTCATTAATGCGACCAATTAAGCAAAATAAAATTAAAATAAAAAATAAATAAAAAAGTACTAGTTATAATAATAGTAATACAGTTTCAGACTTAGCTCAGACGTAACTGGAGAATCGAGGATGACTTCGCCTATGAAATCGTCCGTTGTTTATTTTGTCCTTCACATTTGATAAGTATGATAAGAGAGATAAGTAACACCCAGTCGAGATTTGTTTGTTAAGGGTAGAAAAAACGCAACGACATTTGTTCATAATATATATCGTGTTATTGGTTTTGCCACATTTCATGTATTGCTATATAAAAGTAATATGTTATACCGAAAATTAACGGTTGCTTATCATGGAATTGCGCTCTACTAGTTCCTCGCTGTTTCGTGCATGTGGTCCTATATGATGACATCTGTGCCAATGAGCCAATGGTATAATGCAGCGTGCGTCCTTGACGGTCGTCCTGTCTGTTCGTCAACTTTTATCTTTAAATAGCTTCATGAAAGACTCAGGGTCCTGATATTTACCCAGTAGGTACCTTGTATATGGAATGCTGTAGAGTTCATCATATACATTACCTTGACCTACTTTCAATGTCCTACTTTCAATGTCAAGGAGGGTGAAACATGTTTAAACCTTCAAACTACATTATCTAGAGAACCATCAAGTCATGATACTTGGATGTGTGACGAATATTTTTGTTAACCTTAGTGTTATAACCTGGTGACAGGGGACCGATGGGATTTTTTTAACATAATTACGATTATATCATAAAAGCGGTTACGCTTATCAAGTTTTTTCATATTTTTTTTAGTTTCGACTATCGAGTAATATTTGCTTTTCTATTAAATTTTGACTCAATTTACCTACTAAAGAATATGAAAGTTACATTTCGCTAAACTTTCCAGTTTAGGTATGAATTCGACAGTTGATAGATGTGGGAATTAGTCCCTTTTATTGACTGTTTTCAATTACCTTTTTAAGAAGTTTAATATGGAAGATTTAACGTTGTAATCAATACATAACAGTTATTTATCTTACCAGGACGACGTCACACAGTGAATAATTACGTCGCATGTTTTGGCACCCGTTCCGTGGCATTGACTTGCACTGGTCAACATTTTTAGAAATTACAAAAGCTAAATAAAAATAATAACAAAATCGCACTGTATGTACATATATATATGGATTGCATTCTGTTGTGATGGGTGTGAACCTCGATGGGTCTTCAGACAAATTTGATATAAACTTCGCAGTTCATTAGTTTGGTCTAAGGATAAAACAAATCCTAGGTCATAGATCTATCTAATGAAACCATTTGCATCAAGTTTGGTAAAGGTAGGTAAGGTAGGTATAAACTGTTAACATTTTTGTGAAGAAAAACATTTAGGAATTGCCAACACATTTCACACGTATGTAACACACGGTGACAAGACACATTCTTAGCGGTAACGTTGGCAACCATTTTGTGATACCCGTAACTGTAGTTACGATTATCGGCTAAGCCACAGTCAACTAACATGTACGTGTACAGTATTTATTGTGCAATATAAAACACGGAATTGAAAATTGAAAATGTTCAAAACGTTATTAACTCAGGCCAAGGCGGTCTTCGTATATTATTTTTTTATTATTACATTTTCTTATAATCGCTATGTCTTCCAGCATAATACAAGAACATGTTGATTATATCCTAAATGCATACATGATTGGGATTTATCACATAGCTGAAGAGTACATGGGAAGTAACTCTATTTCTCCTCTATGAAAGCTATACTCGCTACCGATCATCCATGCGTGGGTTTATGGTTATGTATTCTGTTATTTTGTCTTTATTTTTAGTTTTTAAATAGTTTCGATTTTACCGTCATCAAGCACGTGTGAATTTCGACAATTTGTCCTGTCTGCAGAGAGTAAGTCTTTTTTAAAGATGGTGGTATAGGCCTGTCCTAATGTTTTACAATTACTAACAGGGGACTAGCTAAAGTCCAAAATATGAACAAAAAATAGGGCAGACAGGCCAGTTAATTTAAGCCACTGTAGTGATAATTCTATGTTATAGATTCCACTCCCACTCCCTTTCAACAGAGATTACAAATATGGAATCAATTGCTTCCTGATTATGGAAAAAAACTCTGGAATAAACTCTATAAACTTAACATAATTTCAAAGGACAAGACGGTCTGATCGTATTTCAGATAAACAATGAAATGTATAATACGGGCCATTCAAAACATTATGTTTAGCAGTAGCGTAAGGTGACAGTTGAAGAATCTAGGGTAAAAAACAAACCGGAACAGTCAGATACCTTGTACTAAAATTTTATTTCAATATAACCTGTTTTAAAAGATAGATATACCAAAAATCAGCTGATATCATACGTTGAAATTTTATAATAGATCATTTTACCCTGAATAAATATTTTGAGTACATTTACCCATAATTATAAATGTTACAGTGACAAGCTCTGATTTACAGCAGGCCAAGTTTACTGGCTTATTCCATCCACGCCAGTGACTTACGATCTTACGTAAAGCACAAAATGCCACTCCCACCCATTTAAATAAACCCTACCCATCACAGTTTGATTTGTATTCAGGATAAAATGGCTTCAATATTTTCAAACGTTGTTGATATGAAGGAAACAAAATGTCTGTAGTAAAATATGCAACTTTTAACAATAAATATCGTACAAATGTAGTGAAAAAATTAATAACAATTGTATACATTTCATCATTTGTAAGTTTGAACCAGCATGTAAATTAAACGATATAAACATATATACCAATATATGCCACTATTAAAAAATGGACCGTATTAAAATAATTTCTATGGTATAATTATGAATAAATATGTCAAAAAGACTTGGCACAATGAATAATTATCACAAATCAACGAATTGTATATCAATATCATAAATAAATATATGCTGTAACGCCACAGAGAGGGCAAAACATGAGAATGGTAACAAATAATTAACTTATTGTTTCTTCTACAAAGGAACTTTTGCAAGGTTTCCGAGAAGACACATTCGGAATATTTCGGTTCAGGACTGTATTGCTGTTCTTCCGAGCCACAGTTCGTTCTTAAATGATTGGTTGAGAAAACGTCAGTCATTATAAATCAGGCAGTTCGTCCTAGCCACTGAAGCTTCCGGGGAGTTGTTATATTTCCAATAAGGAGGTCAGGGTAAAGCCATGTTCAACTCCTGCATTATTATGGTTTTCCGACCTAAAGTAAATTCATTATCATCTGGCTTACGATTGCGGTGCATGGTCGCTGACCTGGGTCATGACACATGCATTGATCAACTACTTCAATCAATTTGGTTACCCGGAATAATGCGATTGTGTACCCAAGACCAAAGATATCTGAGGCACGTGTTGTCGGGTTGCCTTCTCGGACCTCGGGTGCGAGTTGAGTGCACCTTGCATTTGTAAAACCGTTGCCCCCGTATTTTTTCACAAAGCCACATGAAGCGTGACCGAAGTCGATGTATCTGCAACATAAAAAAGAACAAATACTATATATGGCGTAAGTAATTGTTGTACATCTCAATTGCAAATATATATTTATGTCCTGTTTTCATCTGAAAGAGTGAGTGTGTGGAAGGAGAAGTCTTTGAAATCCTTTAGCTTGCACATGAATTTTTTTTTTCAGTATTAATGAAAATGAAACTAGTTACAGATTTGCATCATGGATGTATAATCACGTTCACGAAGTCTGATACTGGGAATCCTTGACTCAGTCTTACCAAGTCTTATTATCGCCATTACACATCAAGTTGTATCATTAATCAATGACATTTTCGGGATAATTAAAGTTTGAAAATATAATATGCATTTTGCGGATTTTCAATTATTACATTCTGTTGATATATACAAACTTCTCAACTACTTTTACACTTTTATAGATTATTAGATTAGAATTTGAATATATTAGGATTTCCATGTAATGAACCAATGAAACTTCATTCTAAACAGTCTTAAATATTTAATGTAAAATCACGAACAATTAGTGATATCACTGCGAATATTAAAATTATAAAAGACAAACTGTCAACGAGGTTTTCAAAATAACAAAGACAGGGAAGAATTTCGGGTCTTTGTTTTATCAACACTTCTCCTGACAGATAAATGAATATTTGAAATGTTGGAACAACAGACTCACTTTGCATGTATGTCGTATCCATCGGAGGAGAACACAATAATATTGTCATCTTTGATGTCGTTCAGAAGGACATTTTGTTCATGAATGGCGTGAAGACCAATAGTGAGGCGTATAGCAAGGAAGATCTTTTGTCTCTCATCTAGAGTGTTCTCTTGTAGTTTCTGTCGCAAGGTCACGCCCGACCCAACCATCTCCATCACGATCAGCAGCTTTCGTTGATCTGTTGGGTCTGGTAGCAGTCCATACAATTTGGGAACATATCCAGTGTCAGATAAGAGTTGCATTATCCTTGCCTCTGAGATAATTTTGTGTCCATCTTCCAGAGCATGATACTGAGACTTGATCGCAACTAGCTGGCCAGTGGGGAGGTGTGTTGCCGTAAAAACCTAAAAATGAATAAATTTATTGATTCAGTTTTTAAAATACGACGAAGACCTTATCTGTATTTATAATGAAAAACTTCGTGATCTGTCTGCGATCACTCTACAGTAACAACTTGACATCCCTCACAACAAAGAAGCCAAACCGAACATGATCACTTTTGGAGGGGTTATTCTAATATTGTTAAATATTTTCTGAAGTCTTTCTTTACATCAAAATTGTGATCCAAATAAGCTATGATAAAAAACAAGCATCCTGAACCATCATCTTTAATTTCTACTCACCGAACCAAACATCCCTGATCCAATGACATTAACCATTCCGGTGGCCGGGTTAGTTTGATAAAGGAAGTGAAGGCAGGACAGGATATCCATTTTCACATCAATTGTTTCAATCCTCTGGCCAATCACCCGGTAGTTATAGTGAGACTCTCCGAATAAATGAATGTCTCCGTCTAAATATTTCAACAGAAAGCAAACAAAACAAATAAACACGCAGCATAAAGTCACACATACAGTGGACAACATACAAGCAAACATACGAAATAAAACATAAGTGTAACTCATACAGAGGACAATATAAAGGCAAACATATCGGGGGGGGGGACAATTGTAACACAGATTGCTATTGTACTTGGAAGGTTTGTACGCCTAATCAGAGAAAAGATTCGTGTAAATCAGAGAAATTATTTTTGGGTCATTGGTTTTAACATTCATCAAATATCGTATCTGTCAATCGCTATAAACGTACCATAAGGATTGATGGTGGTTTCCTGGGGAGGCTGGGTGGCCATATAGTGGCCCTGTGGAGGTGGAGCAACCATATACAGGGGCCTTCTCGTATTAAGAGGAATTGTGGTTTTCTGGGGAGGCTGGGCGCCCATATAGTGGCCTTGGGGAGGTGGAGCAACCATATACAGGGGCCTTCTCGTATTCGGAGGAATTCGCTGTATTGATGATGACTCTTTATCTGACTCCATTAGAGCTAACAGTTCAGTTTCTATTCCTCTTGATTGAGCGATTGCTTGAATTGGTGCAGCTGCCATAGCAACGCTTAGTGTCAAACTATTTTGCAGCCGCTGCACTGGAGATTCAATGGTCTCGACGATGCTTATATTAAGTCGATCTTCCCTAACTGACCTTACAGAAACCATGTTTACCGTCATTAAGTAAGCACGGTTTTGGGGAAACATTGGTGATGCTAAGTTTAGTGTCGGTGGCATTTGGATGAGGGCTGTTTCGGAGGTGTGTGAAAAAAGCATTTCTACTGAGGACGCTTGCCCGCCAGTAAAACAGATCTCTTCCAATGACGATCCACTTGAATAGGTCAACGCTGGGGCAATTGCCAGCTGTGGAAAAAAAGCAATATATTTTCTAAACTACGAAATTTACTGTTCATCTCCCGTTATTGGGTTTTGTCAGTGACAAGTAATTTTGATATTTGATTAAAACCTCAATCAATCGAAAATTCTTGAGGTAAACATCCTGCAGTGCTATGTATAAACACACGTGCCTGATAGTCCAGGAATATATTACAACATTGCATCGGTAATGTACGGTGTATGTATTATATTCGACATTATATATAAAAGGACAACAAATGCAAAACATTTTAGCTGAATGAAGAACAAAAGTGATTTTTTTCTCTCGTTTTTACCTTTCTATAATATGCACCTCCTATGTAAAGAGTTCGAAAAGTAATTTGGATATTTACTAGCCAAGTGTATTATGCTAATACAAGTAATCCTCCTCTGCGATGGGGGGTACCGGTCTTATACACTTGATCATCAAAGATGGTTTGAAATGTACGCAATCAAGACATTCCACTTACTAAATTGGCAGCTGCAGCTACAAGGCTTACTGGTGAGGCTGGGACTGATGTGGACGGTGTGTGGACACGGTGGGCAATGTGTACACTGTTCTGAACAGCGAAAAGACGTGTTGGGATGGCCGGGACTGATACTGGTAGAAGACTTGATAATGCAATGTGAGTCTCCAAATGTGGTACCGTTCGTAATGTCTCAGAAAAGCTCGTTTGAAGAAATGGTTCACATGACGGTTTTGGAGTGCTTTTCTCAAACACTGATCTTCTGCACGATGATGCACTCTGTAGAACTGGTGTTGCAGGTATCTCTGCGAGTCTTTCCACAGCAGCAAAGAGGCTTTTGTCAGAGTAAGGTAAACTGTCTAGGCTTTTAATGAACATGTCAAGGTTACTCACGCCAGGCGTCACTTCGGTCGAAATAATCTAAATAATTAACAAAACACATACGGAATGAGTGTTTGATCTCAATAAAATGATAATAGATAATAAAGTTGTATGCTAATAAGTAACATTTTAACGTACCTTCTATCATTGAAACAGTTATTTGGGTAAAGGGTTTTTTAAGCCCATTTGGACCTTATGGACAAAACATTTTCATTCTCCACAGCATGAGCATTTAAAACAAAAATAAGTATTGATAGTTGAGCCGACTTTATTGTGTAACAAGTGAAGTTCCATTTATGTAAATATGTATAAGTGTCCTTACCGGAAGTAGATTCGGAGGGGTCATACTAATTGGTGAATCATGAGATGAACTGTCGATTGACAACGGTGATTGGTTCTGACAGAGGACCACCTGATCGTGTGATAGATAATATTTTTAATCATTTTAATTTTCAAAATAAGTCTTTTACAAAAACAAAATGTGAGCCTCTAAATATAAAGAATATAAATCATATTTCAGGAAAGCAATTTCTGAAATGATTCAGCAACCGCATGTACTTTGGATGCATGTACGCCTAGAAAGACGTTAAGGGAATAGCATTGCAAAGGAACAGAACACTGAACGTACCTCTCGAGGAGAACAGCTAGGACTGAAAAACCCTGGTTCAAATACAATTGATTGCCTCAAATATCTAGCCTCATTGAGCTTATCAGGAGACCAGTTATTCTGTTCCTCGTGAAACAATGTCGGCGGTACAGCCAGGACGAGGTCTCCAAATGATCCCATTCCCAACAAATCACAAACTTCATCTCGCTACAACAAATTGTTACGTTTCTTTTTGAAATATCTGTCGACAGGAACAATTTTGGTCATCATTTTTCCGAAAAAATGCAATAAGATTTTGGATACATTTATATATAGATAAATATAAAATGCATATTATATTCAAATATTGGCAAAGGTTTTTATTCACGGATCAGTGTATCTTCATTATGAAATATGAAATTGAATTCAATTGAAAACAGAATCTGTTATGGAAAAAAGAAAACAGAACTTACAATATTTCGACATCTGATTAAATAACTATTGAAAGAATTGTGCTCAATATTTCACAACTTACTAGATTATCTCCTCCTGTCAAATTAAATCTTCCAGAAGATCCAAAAACACTTATTTACAGATGGACGGGCGGACGAATTATAAATAAAGTAAAACTATCACTTATTTGTATCGATGATTTTTACCTTGACATGCATTGGTGCTTTGGTGCCGTAACCGAGGTCAAGTGGAGGAGGACACCAGGTTGGGCTGCACACTAAAACCATCAGGTTTTCCTGGACAATGCCTCTTCGGAAATTCTGTGGTGAACAAACACATTGTGGAGATTTGTCGGGTTTTTATAACATGCTTTAGTGAAAGCAAATGTTTGGTTAGCAACGCTTTTAACGGCTGTAGATTAGGTGATAGTGTACTCGGTTAAAAGTCCGCGTAGATTGCGGAGTGGAGTATAGTGAAGGTTAATAGCCGATTTGGGGCTATGTTGTGTTGGAATATAATAAAGGTATATTGTTTGATTTGAGTATAGTGCGGATAGATTGTTGGGTCAGAGTTAACGTGGTGGAGTAACGTTAGTGAATAGCATCCTCGATACTCCAGGGGTTACACTCACTTCCGCTCTGTGAACCTCTGGAATATGTCTTAGCAAATTTGAAAGCATGCAGCTAGTTATTGGACTGGTCTCAGGTAAAAAAAGAAACACACCTGACCATTCGCTAGGCTGATACCTGTCCTTTGAAGATTACGGAGGAGCGACATCCGATTTCAAAGCCAGTCAATTTTACCGTTACACGATCGACAGCATCTTTTGATATACATTTAAGGATTAAACTAGTTTTCTCGTCTCATCCACAAGGCTATGCAAACTGAGCCATCGATTTTATTACGACATATTCCATGAGTGCAAAGAGCGGACGGGGCGTATATGTAGCCCCTAGAATATTGAGGATGGTCTCATCCACAGGACGATGCACACTGAACCTCTGATTTTGCTATGACATATTCCAGCGATGCAGAGAGTGAAAGTGAGCGTAACCACTAGAGTATCAAGGATGGGGAACTAGTTGGTGGTTCATGATAATTTTGCTTTAGTTGGTAAATTGACCGTGTATCTGAGCTTTGCTATTACCGAGTATGGAGGAGATGGATGATAAAGTAGAAACTTTGCTTGTAGGAGTAAACAGTGGGTAGATCACTGGGTCAGAGTATTGCTGTGTGACAGTATATTTATACTGAAGCTTTGAGTCAGATAAATACCGGATGGCAGTTTATTGATGAGTCCAAGTCGGGAGCTTTGCATGGCGGCAGTATAATGAGGTACCAATGTTTAGCCAGGCATTGCACGATAGCATTATTGAATATAAATTATTGTTGCTTGTTGGCAGTTTAATTGGGGAGCATTGCCGGATGGGCAGTTTTGAAAATGGATTGTTGGTTCAGAGATTTGATTTTGGTCGTATTGAACATTGATTATTGAGTCAGAGATTTGCTTAGTGGCAGGATACTGGTTGGGTTAAGTTTGCGTGTATTAGCGAAAAAAAAAATCTTCTGTTTTTAAATTTATTTTCCTATTTTTTTTTAAAATTTAATTTTATTCATTTATTCACAAAATATCACACTTTTACTTACGTTGTTACCACTGAGATCGCATTTCCTTGACGGCTCCTTATTGCTGACCATCAGCTGACCAAGGTCAAGTGGTGCCGGGTTCTTGGTTGGCTGGCAGACAAATACCATCATCGTCTCCTTTATCCAGCTTGATTTGTGGCTGGTGTGATCTTGTCGTGTTGTGGTAACATTCTGTGGACAAAAAATATAAAAAAAATATAACAGAGTATGGTATGAAAATGTCATGGATATTCCAGTCTGAAATTTATGAGCAAACATCTAATTTAATAGCTGATTAAATATATATCGGATGTAATTCTTCACGATGAACTAATCACGAAGGTACACTGGTAACTATATACGCCCCTCCCCCTTCCCCCGGTCATCCGACTATTATTAGTACTTTTTGGAGAAAATGTACCCCTTTGACGAAGCTTAATGGGTAAAGCCGATAACTTGTGGAAAGTAATTGGTCTATCTTTGTATTTTAAAACACATATATGAATATCAGTGATTTAAGAGATATAAAAAGGATATTTGGATTGGAGAAAGGTAGTTTATAAGGTTGTATCGTTTAAGTGTTTTGGTTGACAAGCGCGTAACTGGATTGTAAGCAATGTGGATGCAATTTTTTTTTCATATAGCCACCTTAAAGGATCTACACCCTCTCAATCTCAAATATAGAAGAGCTCCGTGGTGTTATCTGTGACTTTTGAAAGCAATATGTAAATGTTTTTTATGTTCGATATTAAGGTGTTTTCTTTGTTTTTGCTTCAGATTTTTTAAACAGACAAAAAAAAGGGAAAAAAGTAGTAACTAAATTGTTGTTGATAATACTAGTATACTGAAACATCTAGCGGCCTTGTCACAGATTGCATGGACCATCTATGATTTCGAGGTTCAGTTTAACTTTAATTTTCCCTATGTTTTTTATATTTATTTCAGCATTTTAATATGTTTTAAACAACATAATAAATCCATCATGTAATTAATGTATACTATTCAATAAATTCAGCAAAATTAGCGACAATTCATAATGCTAACACTATCAATTAAACGGAAATACACAGAAAATACACTACAAGGCTTTACACTACCCATACAACATACTCTAATTTCTATAATATTTAAATAACTTACCTTATCTTGTCTTTGAAACTTGCTTGAACTGTTGTGAAAATTATTATGATTAAAATTTAAAGGTGGCTTAAAACAACTTGCTATAGCAAACAACTTCATCTTCGCTTTCTTAAATATTCGCGCTCTTCAACTTTCTATGCTGCATCTTGCTGTTGTTAGGCTTCTCGACCTATGACGTCATGTGATTATCAAGGTAGAGTTAATCACGTGACTCTTATATCCGGGATACGGTAACGTTTATGACGTCATGCAAAATCGGGAGGCTAGGCCTTGGTAAGATGGTTAGGTTGATTTGATAAATTAAACTTTTTACGACTACCAAAAGCAACAGTTATGCTCAAGGTCAAATGGTGTATAATGTTACTTAACAGTTCGAGAAAAAAAGTGGAGAAATAATTTATTCTTTCAGTGCAATCCAGGATACATCCAAATTGTCCGTAATCCGAACACACAATAGTACCACTTCCGTAATTATCTTGGTCTCGTGTCACGCTGAATGCAGCGAAGTGTTGTAAATAAAACCCATACTATTGTGTTGTGCGCCATCTACTCAGTGTTGTAAACCCAGTGTGACTTTGATATTCTGATCCACTGTTGCTCTGATGATCCTATAGACCTGATACCGCTATATTAGCAGTACTTTTAACACGTGTAAGTCGTGTGGATGGTCTGAGCGCGACGCTATATCGAAACTAAAAATTTAATTGGACTTGTTGTCGCCAATTCACTGTGTTAAGCATATTAAATGTCTATTTCTTATCGAGGACATTAATTCAACACGGATCTAGACTTCAATATATTCCAAAAAGATTTTATGACTTTCAGTATTTCTTATTACATGTAAAATAAATTGTATTACGAAAATCTTACTCTTTTGTAAATCTTACTCTATTGTAAATCTTACTCTTTTGTAAATTTCCTCGATGGTATATTGTATTTGAAATAAATATAAATTGTATTTATTTCACAACAATTATGCAACATGTTTTTACAACTTATACTTATCACTCCTGCAGTGGCCCGGATGTTAACGTGGGGGGGGGGGGGGGGGGGTCTTACTGTGGGAGGAAACCGAAGTACCCGGGGAAAACCCACGTGGTCGGGCAGGTGACCCCATACCTTTTCACGTCCGATCGGGGTATCGGACCCCGGCAACCTTGGTGAAAGCCAGTGCGCTATCCACTGCGTCACCCGACCACCCACTGATTTGAAATACATATACAATAGAGTGAGTAGCGTCATTGTAATAGTATCTGTAGTAAAAGGATGCATTTTTTTTTATTAAAATTGAGACAAATGTTCAGTATGATTTGTTTAAAAAAAGCTCCGGACGTACATATTAACCAGATTTGCTAACGTCACGCCACCACAATTGATACGCTACCCAAATTGGTACAGGTCAGAAAATGGTTCTAATAGTATTTCAATATTAAACTGGTGTAGGTTTCTCCAATAGTATAACACACGATGACTCCAAATTAAACATGTCAAAAAAAACATTAAAAATGACGTATGTCGACGATACTTTGGAGGATTTTGAAGGGGTTAATTTTAGGCATGTTTAAATGTTGATTTCTGGTCCTTACAATCGGATAACATAAAAGTATATATGTACAGTCGTAGTTCAGTATGCTGTTTATAAAAACAATATATTTTGTTGCAATTGGCACATCAACTAGTAGAAATAAAAATAAGTTTCATTGTCTGTGCTTTTGTGTACCAATGTGGGTACTTAATACCAAAAAATGAAATCCCATGAGTAGTCCTTGTCAAGAATCAAGAAACATTCCAGATACCAGATCTGGATTTTTAAATATCGCTGATAAATTGTCAAAAGTGTACAAATTGCAGTAGCGTGACGTTAGATTGAACAATATAGGATAAATCATAAATGTTTGATGCTTTATACATTCTTTGCGAATACAACTATATAAAATCCCTTCCTTATTTGTCGACAAACACTCGGGTATCTGTACAGTAGACTTCTATGTACACACTCGGATCACTTCGCCTTTTCCCGTCGCATGCTCAAAACACGAAGAAAATCACGGAAAAGGCCGAGCATAGTCCGTTTTTTTTTTTTTTTTTTTTTTTTTAATTTTTTTTTNCCACAATTCTGTCGTATATGATACAGTATGCTTTTCTGTCCATGTTGCCCGAAAACGATCAAAACAAACTATTTGAATTTCTAAGCGGACCCAGATTAAAACTTTGGTTACATACAGTGTAGTTCATAATATACCCACAGGGCTCGTTTTCATGAAACCGTTATCATGTTCAAGCATGGATTTTGTGCTCGAGCTTAATTTCTTGTTCTGGTTATAAATTAATAAACAAAGCTTATTATGTCAAATGTTTGATTTCATTTTGAATAGAAGTAAAGCCAAACACTGTTTTCAATATTTAAATTTTGACTTTTTGATCATTTGACATGACTTAAGCGAGTTACAATAAAGTTGATTTGAGCACAGAAACCATGCTTGAATATGAGAACGGTTTCGTGAATACGGACCCCGGATCCGGGCAGATTTTATCGACATCGTGCTGATATCGATAAGAGTTATGATACGAGTGGATACTATCGACAGTTAGAAAATAACCTATAACATATGCAGCCTTTCGCTTGATTTTTAAAGCAAATATGCGATACTTATGATTATAATTGTATTTTCCATAAATGAAGTTAGAAAAACCATTGTATTCCGACCACATACATACATATTGACTTCGGCAAAGATGTGATCTTAGTGTACAAGGCAGTGAAAACGGATAAAAGATCCTGGCAAAACACCAAACCCTGCGGTATTCCCTTGTCTGCGTTTAAATAAGTACGATGTCCGAAGATTCTTAATAATTGTCAGTTACAAGACCACTGTTGTCACAACAACCTTTCACTATATCCATTAAATATAATAATTGTGAGATAATGATTATTGTATTATTTATTAACAAGGCATTTCTGGATATAACACCTCTTTACTTATCACTACCACACTACCACACCACCAACGCAGGTGACCAGTTGTCAAAATACTTGTCAGTTACAAGGTAATTCTGACCTAAACGTTCTCCCTGTTGGTTAGTTACAAGGTAATTCTGGCCTAAACGTTCTCCCTGTTGGTTAGTTACAAAGTAATTCTGACCTAAACGTTCTCCCTGTTGGTTAGTTACAAGGTAATTCTGACCTAAACGTTCTCCCTGTTGGTTAGTTACAAGGTAATTCTGACCTAAACGTTCTCCCTGTTGGTTAGTTACAAGGTAATTCTGGCCTAAACGTTCTCCCTGTTGGTTAGTTACAAGGTAATTCTGGCCTAAACGTTCTCCCTGTTGGTTAGTTACAAGGTAATTCTGGCCTAAACGTTCTCCCTGTTGGTTAGTTACAAGGTAATTCTGGCCTAAACGTTCTCCCTGTTGGTTAGTTACAAGGTAATTCTGGCCTAAACGTTCTCCCTGTTGGTTAGTTACAAGGTAATTCTGGCCTAAACGTTCTCCCTGTTGGTTAGTTACAAGGTAATTCTGGCCTAAACGTTCTCCCTGTTGGTTAGTTACAAGGTAATTCTGGCCTAAACGTTCTCCCTGTTGGTTAGTTACAAGGTAATTCTGGCCTAAACGTTCTCCCTGTTGGTTAGTTACAAGGTAATTCTGGCCTAAACGTTCTCCCTGTTGGTTAGTTACAAGGTAATTCTGGCCTAAACGTTCTCCCTGTTGGTTAGTTACAAGGTAATTCTGGCCTAAACGTTCTCCCTGTTGGTTAGTTACAAGGTAATTCTGGCCTAAACGTTCTCCCTGTTGGTTAGTTACAAGGTAATTCTGGCCTAAACGTTCTCCCTGTTGGTTAGTTACAAGGTAATTCTGGCCTAAACGTTCTCCCTGTTGGTTAGTTACAAGGTAATTCTGGCCTAAACGTTCTCCCTGTTGGTTAGTTACAAGGTAATTCTGGCCTAAACGTTCTCCCTGTTGGTTAGTTACAAGGTAATTCTGGCCTAAACGTTCTCCCTGTTGGTTAGTTACAAGGTAATTCTGGCCTAAACGTTCTCCCTGTTGGTTAGTTACAAGGTAATTCTGGCCTAAACGTTCTCCCTGTTGGTTAGTTACAAGGTAATTCTGGCCTAAACGTTCTCCCTGTTGGTTAGTTACAAGGTAATTCTGGCCTAAACGTTCTCCCTGTTGGTTAGTTACAAGGTAATTCTGGCCTAAACGTTCTCCCTGTTGGTTAGTTACAAGGTAATTCTGGCCTAAACGTTCTCCCTGTTGGTTAGTTACAAGGTAATTCTGGCCTAAACGTTCTCCCTGTTGGTTAGTTACAAGGTAATTCTGGCCTAAACGTTCTCCCTGTTGGTTAGTTACAAGGTAATTCTGGCCTAAACGTTCTCCCTGTTGGTTAGTTACAAGGTAATTCTGGCCTAAACGTTCTCCCTGTTGGTTAGTTACAAGGTAATTCTGGCCTAAACGTTCTCCCTGTTGGTTAGTTACAAGGTAATTCTGGCCTAAACGTTCTCCCTGTTGGTTAGTTACAAGGTAATTCTGGCCTAAACGTTCTCCCTGTTGGTTAGTTACAAGGTAATTCTGGCCTAAACGTTCTCCCTGTTGGTTAGTTACAAGGTAATTCTGGCCTAAACGTTCTCCCTGTTGGTTAGTTACAAGGTAATTCTGGCCTAAACGTTCTCCCTGTTGGTTAGTTACAAGGTAATTCTGGCCTAAACGTTCTCCCTGTTGGTTAGTTACAAGGTAATTCTGGCCTAAACGTTCTCCCTGTTGGTTAGTTACAAGGTAATTCTGGCCTAAACGTTCTCCCTGTTGGTTAGTTACAAGGTAATTCTGGCCTAAACGTTCTCCCTGTTGGTTAGTTACAAGGTAATTCTGGCCTAAACGTTCTCCCTGTTGGTTAGTTACAAGGTAATTCTGGCCTAAACGTTCTCCCTGTTGGTTAGTTACAAGGTAATTCTGGCCTAAACGTTCTCCCTGTTGGTTAGTTACAAGGTAATTCTGGCCTAAACGTTCTCCCTGTTGGTTAGTTACAAGGTAATTCTGACCTAAACGTTCTCCCTGTTGGTTAGTTACAAGGTAATTCTGACCTAAACGTTCTCCCTGTTGGTCAGTTACAAGGTAATTCTGGCCTAAACGTTCTCCCGTTGGTCAGTTACAAGGTAATTCTGACCTAAACGTTTTCCCTGCTGGTCAG